ATCAGAAAACCCCTCAGTCCCACTTTACAAATCAGTCTCAGTCTTGCTGGTGCTGATGTCTTTTCCAGTGCAGCTCTTGGCGGGGGACTCGTGGGGAATAGTTTCATTCCTATAGGACTTGGATTGGAATTTCCAGGTATGAATATCTCGAGTTTCAAGTCAATGAGATCTGACGAAAGATACGGTGGAAATGACGTGAACATAATTAAAATCTAACTTCGTTCTGTTCACGTCCTATTTTTAGTTGAACTCTCCTCTCATCCAGCTTCGGGCAGAAAAAGGCTCAATGAGGCTCTTCACACTAATAATGAAGAACTTCACTTGAAGTGGACGAGGAATGAGTGATAGTGTTTGTTTTTTTTTCGTGTAGAAAGCGTACACGGAGGAAAGAAAGTTTCAGTTTTTAGAGCTATACCTCCAATCTCTAGGGATATTTGATGCTGATTCTAACTTCCTTTAGCATTAGGAATTTGTATTACTGAAAATAACGATACACGGCGAGAAATTTTTAATAAAAATTATCCTACCATTCTACAAAAGTGTATTATGAGTGATCGTTTCCTCATTTCTATCCTGAAATTTAGTAAAAATTAATATGGAATGATCAAATTTTATTCTACATTAGAGAAATTTCATCCCGATAAAAATAAAAATTACCGTGCCGGTAAAGTATAAAAATTACTGTACCGGTAGAATAAAATTTACCAACCATTCTAGAAGTTTCGTTGTTATTGACACAAAAATTATTGGACTGGAAGAGTAAAATTTATTATGCGTCAGGATAAAATTTCTCTAACGTAGAATAAAAGTTAATCATCATATATTAATTTTTACTAAATTTCGGGATAGAAATGAGGAAACGATGACTCATGATACACTTGTATAGAACGATCGGACAATTTTTATCAAAAATTTCTCTCCGTGTAAAATCTCGAAAATCTCGAAAAGTGAAAACCGAAATATCACTGAATCCCAGTCACCGGTATCCTAAATAAGCAGAATATCCTATGAAACCAGCAGTGATAGCTGGGTAAGATATTGCTCCGGCGAACTTCCAATTGTCTGCTTAGCTTGCAAGCTATTTTATTTCTAGCTATCACTGTTGGTTTCATAGGATTTTCTGCTTATTGCGGTGTTCCTGGTCCGGTTCAAATACATTGTATAATGACACCCAAAGTCTGAATCATGATATTTTAATGTAATTGTTAAAAGGTGCAGCGTGTTTTCTATTGGGCTTGGAGGTCGTCAGAATCGGTGCTCTCATTATTACCCTAGGCCATTTGTTCATGCTCGCCATTAACCATTATTTGGGGATTCTTCGACCACTTCATTATATATCGATCATGACTCACAGGTGAATTGATCTCTATTCAATAGAACTTGTAATCATGTTTTGCTATATCTGCATTGCTGACGTATTGTTTAATTACAGAATGACAACTTTCCTCATAATTATACTGTGGACATTTCCCCTCTGCTTTTTCATGGCTTATTTCAATCTCATAGAGAATGAAGGCTTTCAATCACCAGGATGTCAGAACAACGGGTAAGATAATAACAGAATGTAAATTGTCTTCGATGCAAAATAGCGCCATCCATTGACGTGATAATAATCTCATTTTCAGATTTCTCAGGAAAGAGAAATTTCGAGTAATGTTCAGCAGCCTCTTTTTCGGACCATTTGTATTCATGGTCTGCATTTATGCTCATATTTTCCACATTGTACGCAGACATCAAGCATCGAGATTACGGTTCAGTCGTGTAGGTTTATCGTTTCGCAGAACTGGAAGTGATGAAAGGCATCAACAAGCTTATCACGGATTGGCGAAAAATGTGAAAGCCATTCACACGACTTTATTCATTCTCGGTAAGTTTCTAGATACCAAGACGATGGGAATTTTTTGCTTTTCAATGGCAGCTTTGTATTCATTCAAATTTAGGTTTCCAATTTTTTATGTCAGGGGAACTAAAGATGGTCTAAGACCTCCAGATATGCGATTTTTAGATGGTGTCTGTATGTATCAATGCACAGAGGGCAAAATTTTATGTGTCCCATGGGTTGACAGGACCTTAATTGAAAAGTATCATGTACGTCCAAAAGCCTTTCCGGTGATCCTTAACACTTTGTATTTAAAACAAGCAGGGATTCGAGCCCATCCGACAGAAGGCATGTGATCGTTACTTCTTGCGTTTATTAGTCCTTTTTTTTCATTCCTACCAATTCCATTGGTAGTAAGCTTCCGAATGAATTCATAGGAATTCCCTATCCTTGTGACAGACATACAACCGTAACCACATGCTACAGGGTGTCTACAGGAAGATATTCAACCTTTTAATGGAATAGAATTATACAAAAGGTTAAATATCTCCGAAATTGTCCGGCCGATTGCAACCCATCCACCTTTTATGTTATAAAAGCTAGAAGAATACAAAATTTCAACTCACTATCTCCATTTTTTATTAAGTTATCGTGTAAACAAGATTTTTCATGAAAAACGGAAAAACGGCAATATCTTTAAATTTTGTCTGAACGAGTATATATATATATATATATATATATATATATATATATATATATATATATATAGGTAATGGGTAAATGCGCGCAGGCACAGCGGCACTTCACAGAAATAAAAGGAGTGGACGAGCGTAACCGTCCCCCATCGACCCGCCATCTCCTTGTTCTCCTTGNTGATCTAGATAGAGGCCATCGAGACAAGTATTTTGAAAAAAAAAAATTAAAATCGGTGGAGTAAATTTTGAGATATTGAGGAAGTTGTTATATCTCAGGAACTACGGGACCGATCGGACTGCAACTGCGCACAATAGTGAAGCTTAATCATAGGTACCCTGCGCCAAAATTTCAGACTTTTATCGACAAATTTCACTGTATTTATATTGAATTTTCTAAAAATTGATCACCAAAAACCCAAGTTGTCACACACATACATACCGACATGTCCCTAAAAACATCATTTCTTCACGTTTCATAACATTCTAGACCATTTGCCATCAAGATTAGAAAATCGAAAAATTGCACAAATACAAGGCGTCCATTCGGAAGCAAAAATCCTATTCATGTCATTCGTAAACCTTATTATGCCCTGCTTTTATAATTTTACTGCAGATTGTGCCAATAAACAAATTAATATGCTGGGTTTCTCAATATTTAAGGAAGCTTCGTGGTTGGGTGGATGCCGGCCACGTTTCTTTTTGTCCTCGTCTGCGATGATTGTCTCGTGAAATCCAACTGGATAACTGGATATTCAAAATTCATAATTTTCAATGCAGCGAATTGCCTACTAATCCTAAGAACTATCGTCAATCCCATTATTTACGCAGCTCGAATGCATGAGATTCAGGCAGCAACGGAACGCATGCACTCATCTTTTCGTGGATTGTTGGGGTTTAGAACTATTCCGGCGGAGAGAAACTCTATTGCACTTCATAGTGGCGACGGGGCACTCAGTCAACGAGCATCACCCACGAGACTTGCTGCTTATCAAGGGGGCTGTCATATGGACATCGATAATAACAAGCATCCACAAGACAGATACATGTATACTTACGCTGCCCCTAGACGCCAGAGAGACAATACTTCTCTTTAAAATGTAACATTGAATTTATCGACTGTCACGTCCAAGATTACTCAAGCAGACGTTATATCAATTTAGGGCATTTAGGGTAAGATTCGAGGTAATTTGTGAAATATCCATTGTATACCACTGAGAAAAAAAAATTCTAAGAAATAGAAATTCTATAATTGATCCAAATTGTTGACATGAACTAGATCAGGCTTCTTCTACAAGGGTATCTCCTTGCAACAATATTGAGTGACCAATCGACGAACATTATGAATAGAAGATATTCGAAAAAACTATAAACATCTATTTTTGACTTTAGAAAATCGCTATGTAACTAGCAATGTTCAGAGCACTGACAACAACAAAAGTGGGAGTGCATTTTTCGATCGGACAATTGCTTTATTGTGTATCTCCGGCAATCCGCAAGATTAAGAACAAAATCTAAAAAATATTGAAATTTAATTTTCGATTTTTGTGTTTTATGCGTGATCGATCTTCCAACTGAAAAATGCATCCGTACTACTGTTGATATAAGTGTGATTCGTCGCTTGTTAACCACATAGAGCTTTTCCAAAGTCGAAATTAATTTTTAATCCGTTCTTAAATTCTCGCAATATTCAATGCACTATCATTTGACATTTTTCAAACTTAGGATAACATCGTTTTATAATAACCTGATTTCCTGGAAGTTCAACACTCCATGACTCTACTTAATCAGTAGCCCTAAGAATGAATTAGTACCGGATGGAGTAAGAATAAGATTAAATAAAAAAATAATGGGATAATGAATAATAAGATGATGAATAATATTAATATAAAATCAAATTGGGTAATGAAAGATGACTGATAAAATCATATTAATTAATTGCTAGCATTTGACGTCAGCTAGAGCTCAACAAATTTACACTGAGAAAAAAAAATTCTAAGAAATAGAAATTCTATGATTGATCCAAATCGTTCATCGATCCAATTTTAGTTTAGTTCAAATCGATATTTGTGTCTTACAATAGCATTTTCTTTTGCGACTATTCAGTCAATGAACGATTTGGATCAATCATAGAATTTCTATTTCTCAGGAATTTTTTTTCTCAGTGTATAAATTCTGGAGTTCTAACACTCATTGACTCAGGGGGCTAATTCTCCAGCGGATCAGAAAGATGTCTATTTATCGAAGTAGGTCCGTAGACGAAACTCCTAATCCTCCAACCCAGACGTTGTGTTTCGTTAGCGGAAATATTTCCAGACACAATCGAAAATAGACCCCCAGGTCGATTTAAATAAAGAAGCAGAAAATATTTATGACATTAATTCAAATGAACGATTTCTAAATGAATAAACGACTCTTTTTATCAAAGTTGTATACGAATCCATGCTTCAATTCTCAATGTAAAAGTAATAAATGTGAATTGTACATACCGACCGTCCACTGCAGCAAGTGTCTCTGCCTCGATCCCTAGCTCATCGAAGCATCTTTCCATTCTCGAACGTCTCTCAGTACGCCTCTCTAGATTTATCATGAAGACGTGGTCCATTCCGAGAGTATCTTTCCTTGGATACTTTATGTATTTCTTCAATTTCGGGGATACCGGAATTTCGAGCTGATACCCCAAAATTTCTAATTTCAAATTTGTCAGCTGCTCAAGATCTGCTTCGAGGGGATCTTCTGACTCTAATGGAACCATGACATATCCGTAAATTTCGTCGTTACACACGTGAAGAGAAATTCCTGGAATATATGAGGATTGTAATTATTTTTCAAGATTTGAAGGAAAAACATCAGAATTCTGAAGTAATAACATGCGTTCTGCATAAATATCTCTGAATCTAGGGAAAATAGTTCCATCATTAAAACTCTTTTGTGTGTGAGCTACCAAGAAAAAAAAATTCTCTGTTGTTTGTTAAAAAAATTGCCATCTACTTTGCAAATGAAAATATTGGGACGATTACGGTAACCGGGGCACCAAGTTTGGGTGAGTATATCGATGGATTTTTACCTCAGAAAATCGTCGAAAAAATGTACAAAAATCTATCTTAATTATTTTTTGGAATATTTTTCAAATTTCTGATCCTTTCAATATACATTTTTGTGGAAAAAAGTCTGAATTTTACGGAAAAAGGGATGTTTAAACTAGCACCTCTCCTTGTAGCTAAAAAACGAGTTTGAAATTTTCAAAATAAGTTTTTTCGCATATCCCCTTCGAAATTAGTTTTTTTTTTGAAGTACAGAAAATTTTAGATCGAAACAGTAGTAGTAAAAATAGATAATTCGATAGAAAAATAGTAGATCGAAATAATAGAGATCTACGACAATTTTGAGATCTCAAATTCCACTTGAATTTGAGATCTCAAACTTGAGGCAAACCTACTTTCTATAGGGGCGAGTGGGGGAAAACGGATACTTTTTTTAATGCTAATGAGTTATTCAATTTTTTCATTAGATAGGATAATTTTTTATGGGTTATTCTATTCTTCCCCTTTGTGACGAGTCTGGACTGACCTCAATTGATAAATTTATTTCTGAGTTAGAACATTGTGAAAAAAAGTCAAAAGTTTTTGCTCCACCCTCCTTTACCGCTAGTAAGTGGAAAAATTTCGGAAACGGTGGAAATTTTCGAAGCCGAATGATCATTCGATAATTGGTAAAAGATGCTAATTAGAAATCTATCTTACCAGATGAATTAGCACCAAGAGCAAACGCTATAATGTCATCATCAGGACCAGCATAATTTTCAATATTCCTTGGGTCATAGGTGAGATGATCACTCTCCTTCCTCCCAAGGTCTATCAGCACAGCGCTATGAACCATTGGAACAACATGACAGCCCTTTTCTACACGATTCACTATCGGTTTATATCTCTCAGTTCTCTCGTAATAATAATCCTGGGTCATTCCTGCCCAGAAATTACTGTACAACCCATCGGACTTCAGTAGAGGGGCTACGACACTATTCTCCTTATCAATTAACAGATTTAAAGTATTGGGATTCGTTAGGAAAATATCAGCGTCCAGCATCTGAAAATCAATGCAATCATATTTATTTTAATATGATTGTATTTAAAATAAAATCATATTTTAAGAATAATCGGGAGAAGAATAGGGGATATTCAAAAAATGCAACCAACTTTATGAACAAATTTTCACACATAATTGAATCCATTTAATCATCGTTCGCAAAATTTGGGAAACCCCAGAAGTAGGGCAACAACAAAAATAATTTTTAAAGTTGATGCTTATACATGAAGTTAAAGGGAGCATCGATAACTCGTGCATGTCCCCTATATTATCGACCAGTCGGCAATGCGGAAAAAATACTGAAATTATCGGTGACCCATCTGACTTCACGTACAAGCAGCAACTTTAAAAATCATTTTCATTGTTGCCCTGCTTCTGGGGGTTCTCAACGGTGTCTAAATGCATTCAATAATGTGTGAAAAAATCTGCATAAAATTCGCTGCATTTTTTGAATATCCTATTCCTCGCCCGATTATCCTTAAGTATGTTTAGACAATGTCAGTAAATTGTCGGTAAATGGGTTTTTTTATGGTCAAGGAAAATTTTGTAATTTTTTCGGCTGACAGCAGAACATATACCTTTTCTAACGTTAAAAAAATTAATCGCAATAGTCTCAGCAGAAATGAATAAACTAATTTTTCCTGATACACGGGTTCTTATGAAATTCATGTTCAAATTGATAATTCACCTACTAGAACACTCTAAAAATAGAAATAAAAATAGAAGGTAATGTGTAAAATCATACTGAATCCAATGGCCAGAGAAAAATTTCGGGTACCCGGGCAAAAAGAGGAAATATTTGAATGATTCTATCCCATATAAGGGCATGTTAGCACATGTATTTGGTGAATTTTTTCTATTTCATGGTTGGTGGGAATCCACCAACCCGGAATCGGAACATGGGTTGGTGGATTCAAATTTGTATCAAAGTGAAGGGAATATGTTCATCTCTCAGTTTTCAAAAAATCAAATTTTTTTTTTAATACTTGCGATTTTGGATGAACATTCTTAAGCAGGAAAATTGAAATTGAGTCATTGTAGATTCAATTTACTCACAAAAATGTAATCAGCCCACGCTCTTCGTGCATAGTCTAATGCTTCCTGTCGTAAATTAATAACATGAGAAAATCGATCATTGGACCAGTCAGCTGTTCCTTTCTCGTCATTAAATCCATGAGATTCTTCGTTCAATTTTGCATTTACAGAATGATAATTTTTTCCTTCTCCGTTTAACCATTCCGTGAGGATTTCTATGGAGTTATCTACATTGTTGTCACTTCGAATCCTACAACAATGAATATGAACAATGAATTAACCTAGACTATCCCTGAAATAAATGAAGCAAAATGAACGAAAGAGGATTCAAATTAAAATTTAAATAGTTCAATCCTTACCATAGACTAATCCTCTCCTTCGGATAATTCAAATTTCCAAAGAGGCTGAGAAAATACGGCAAAGTATGAGCTTTATTCCTCACTAGCACAGCAACCAAAACCGTGGGCCGTTTGAAATTACAATAACAAACGTCACATCCGGCCCACAGGACAATTATCAAAAATGTCACACTCTGTAGAATCCACATCCTCAATTTTTTTCCCCACAGCTACAAAATCCCCATTGGAATTAGTCCACGTGGATAAAACAAGGGACCGGAAATTTGAATAAATTTCCAGATGATGCTGATATATATTTATCTCATGAGTGTGAGTGCTCCAGGCCCCTCCGATTGCTCGCCCCTTTCAAAATATCACTGGGATGCAACAGCCTAACAAACACAGCTGATCACAACTCAACGATAAAGTAAAACTCCCTTATCGACAATCGGTCAGTCTAAAAATAATCTTTCAGTCTTAATTTTTTTTGTAAACAAAATGTTTTGTCATTGCTCCATTTGTTATGATTTCATTCATTGAACTTTACATTTTCGCTCATTTATCAATCAGTTTCAAAATTCTGTTCACAATCAATGGGAATTTGATTTTTTTTTATTGTAATGTGGAAAAGAGTTGAGTGGATTGATTAGAAGTTGCAAACGGAGCAGATATATTCATCTCAATTGTAGCATACTGCAAATGTTTGAGGTACATATATACGTGGTGTTGTGTATCGCATACATACGGGTATATATGTGGTTATGGACACCTAGAAATCTTGGAATCCGTAAAAGTGTCACACTGAGAAAGAGACTGTCTCTCCTCTCTGTTGAATAAACTTTAATTAAGGACAAGAAGAACGCCAGAGTTTAAGTAAACGAAGTAACGAGACCTACGAAATCCCCTTACTTATGCATTTTTGATGATCGCTATGAGCATGAGTGAGCATGAGCTTGATCGGTTGACGACATAACCTGAAAATAAATGGAGTCCATTAGAGCCTGTAATAAAATTCTTTTACGGTGCAAGTTGATAAGATAAATTGACTGTGAGTCACGGGTATGCGTTGACATTTGTAACCCTTTGTGAGATTATATTCTTTTTTATACTCAGTGGTTTCTCATGTTCACTGGGAGACGAAGAGAGCGTCAATCTGACTCTGTGATTCTTTATAAACAAATGGAAGTTTGGGTTTGAGAGGAATTTGCAGTGTTATTGGGTAAATTTACGTGGGGAGATGACTGGATGTAAAAGCACTAGATGAGAAAAACAAGGAGCGGACATGGGCAACTGTTTGTGTAAAGACAGTGCTGATGAACCAGAGGTTGATTGTGACAGGAGTCATGTAGAGGTAGAGACCACTATTATACCTGAAAATCATTGTCATACTGCGAGCATTGGGGGGAGTGATGACTCACCCTGTTTTAAATTCCCTACCTCATCCAATATTGATAAACTGGTGTGGGAAACACTTGGGGTCATAGGAGGACTTGTTGACAAGTAAGAAAATCATCCACTATGAATTCATTTGTGAAGGGGTAGGAAGAGATGAGTTCGAAATGAATTTGCAGATTATTTCAGAGATCACGTGAGAAGAAAGAAGCTTCGAGAATTTCTTAGAGATTGATTGTGTAAAGAACTTTATGGACTGCAAAAAGTTTTTCTCATGATCTTTTTTGATGAATAGTAGTTGGAGAGATATTTACAAATGATCTGCAGAGAATTTTCGAACACGAGGGTTTCTTTATTGTTTCATTTTTTACTGATGTTTTAGTGAACAAGAACCACCACCAGCGATGCTCAAGCTCCATACGATAGCAGACAAAGAGGAAGGATGGATTCAAGTCGTGAGTTCGATGGTTAACGTCATTCCCATGCACAGTCCTCTGGGTCCATCAGTCATAACTCTTCTGCTTGACGATTGTCCTTTACCTTCGAAGGTAAATCATGAACCTCTATAAAAATGTTCAATGATAGAGTGCACGGAGAAAAGAAGTTTCTAGTTTTCGGAACCAAGTTACTGATTTTGAAAAATACATGGTTCAAAATTACACTCGATTCAGAATAAGAAACTGGTTACTTCATTTCAGAAGGAATATCCAGAAAATTCAGTACCAGAAGTCTACTTATTTCGAATGAGGGGTTCTCAAAGTTGAAACTTTTTCTTTCTAAGACTAAGAACATTTGGAAGGGATATAATTCTGGAATAATGGAACATTAATCTAATATTCATTGAGTCAAGGTGTCAGGTGATATACTAAGAGTAATAATGGATTTAAAAACATGAGCAGATTAATTTTAGAAAATCATCAGTTCAAGAACGAGAATTTTCGTTATTTGAGAGCCCGGATGTTGGTAATTTAAAAACCCCTAGGTTGTTATTTTTAAAACTGAACAATTCTGAAGTCTGGAACCAAGATTTCCTTAATACAAAGAATCATGTAGACTCGTTTACTAAAGTTCTGAAACAAAATACATAGGATGCAAGTTCAGATTGATTCAGAACTTTAGTAAATGATTGTACCTCAACTAAGTACAATTATATTAGATTTAACTAAAAATTACTGAGGACTAGAACTGTTACTTCTGTTTTTCAAAAATAATTGCCTTAAAATGAGTGAAAATTGCATTTATTTCCAGGATATTTTGCTTGTTAGTTTTCAATACGACAGAGTTCTGAAACTCAGAGATTCTTGCTGAAAATTAGAAAAAAATTTTATCTGTATGGTGAACTAGTTGAATGGGATGATTCGGAAACAAATTTACTCACTCCCGAAATCATGTTGCCACTCTGTCATGCAAACATTTTGAAATCAACGAAATCAGTCGAAGTCAATGAAGTTGAAACAAGTGCAAGTAATTCGCGATTTTGAAACTGACATGATTTCATTTTCTCGGAAATTATTAATTTCGAAGTAATGCAACCATCTCTCTAATTACGTGAAATCGGTTTCATTTTAAAATCGTAGTGTCACTCAATTATGGAGTGAGTAGTCTTTTGCACGATTCTTAATATATTCTTCACTGAGAGAAATATCGTCATAATATCACAAAACTAATTTCTTACGCCAACTATCTCATTTCTTGAGGATAAATTTCTTGGGATAAGAATTCCGAATAATATGTCGACAATGACAGATTGCGGTGAAGTGTTTATAACTTGAACATGAACATTTCATGATAAAGTGAGAATTTCTTGTCACAAAAATCGTTTTTTTCGTGTCAGAAGATGAGAAAATGTCTAAAAATATTAAAAGCTTAGATTTAGTGAATCATGAATCAAAGACTTTCATATTGAATGAATAGAGAGCTTATGCAGAGGAAAACCTCCAAATATTAAAAAAATATAACCGTCGATTACGCTCAATTGCTTTGAGTTCAAAGGAAAGCAATATCTTTTTTTTCTTCTGTCAAACTATTCTTCTCTTTTAAGGAATATTATCTCATCTTGAAAAAAGACATCACCTTTTCATTCAGTAACTTCCTCCTTAGCCCGAAGAGCACTGATTTCTTCTTTGAAATCTACCATAAATTAATCAAATATGTATGCGATGTTTTTCGCTCAAGAAATGATTTTTGTGATATTATATCGATTTTTCTCTTAGTGTTAGCACTAGTGGGTTTAGAGAAAAGTGCTCCCAATCTTGATTCTTAGAAGATGGTACGAACCACAAAAAACCTTTTTTCAAAGTTTCTCCAAACTTGCTAGCTCCAAAGATGTTATCAGAAAAATCTACACAAAATGATAAATTGTCTGTACAAATATCGTTACCGTATAGCCAAAGATGATATATAATTATTTGAGTCTATTTTTTTCTCCTGCCTCACAGGATTTAATGATTTTCATCTGAAGATCACAGCTGTATATGCTACTTCAAATAATTCTCTTGTTTTACAGGATTCAGTCCTAAAACTATCACAAATGTTCCAACTCTCCCAGAACACTGGAAAGCTCCAAACGAGTGTGAGTCAGCAAAGAAATATTTGTGTAGTCCTAGGATGCATCGCAGAAAAATTAGCAGGGCCCAGTAGCATCGCTGTGTTGTCCAACGCAACACTGGATTACCTCGTTTCAAACCTCAGGGAAGATGCTGAACCTTACGTCATTCTATACTCATTGATTGCACTGGAGAAATTTGCACAGACGAGTGAGAATAAATTAACAATACAGAAGAGACTTATGGCTGAGAGAGAACATCCGTTATTAATATTGGAGAAGTGGGCAACTGAGACTAACTATGTTAAACGTCAAGTAGGCTTTTCCGCACAATGGTGTCTGGATAATTTATGTGAGTATTCAATTGACTTTATTCGTTTCCTATCACCAGCAATAATCTATTAGAACTATCATAGCAGTGGGGTGGTAGAAATAGAACTGTAGAAACATTACATGTGGATTCTTTCGTCGATATCTCAGGAATGAGAAGATTGAGGAAAATTTTTCTCAATATTAACAACAGAATCATGCCAATTTTTCCCATATTTTCTGTCACCAATAAGGAACTTGCATGAACGTTTTTCAATTTTCTAATCTCAAGTTTGGGACCTAAATAATTATTAATTTTTGATTCACAAACATTCGAAATATTGCTCATGAATTAATAATTCATTGTTAAATTTGAAAATTTCAAACGCTTTGAAATCGCTAATGACGTCACACAGACGATCAATGCTGGACCAATCACAGAATGACTCGGGCCGACCTAACCCAATCTTGAGGTGCGCCTCGGCCAATGGAGGACGACAACTCCCCACTCTCTTCTTTTTCGACCAATGAAACGTTACTTGAACGCCTTCGTGACGTCATGACCGACAAATTGGCACTGAAAACGACTGATTTTCAATAAATTCTCATAAGACATCTAGGCAATATTTCTCCATAATTTTTGCCGTTCAGATATCCATATGTTACGAGGAATGTGTGAATAGGCGAATTGGAAAAAATTGAGGTTCACGCAAGTTCCCTATTCACTGGAGATTTCTTAATTATCACCTCATCACATTATTTATTTCATTAAATTTTCAGTTTTGATAGAAGGAAGAAAATATTCTCATGACACAGTTGACTTAACTGGTATAAATGTGATGTTAAATACAAAAGATGTAAGCGAGTACCTGAAAATATCGCCGAATGGTCTTGAAGCACGCTGTGATGCATACTCTTTCGAAAGTGTTAGATGTACATTTCAAGTCGATACCGGTGTTTGGTATTACGAAACCTTGATAATGACAACCGGTGTGATGCAAATTGGATGGGCAACAAAAAATAGCACATTTTTGAATCACGAGGGTTATGGGATTGGTGACGATGCCTACTCATTGTCCTGTGATGGCTGTCGTCGATTGATTTGGCACAATGCCAGGAGTGAAAAGTACAATGATCGAGCACCTTGGAAGGCTGGTGATGTGCTCGGGTGTTTGCTCGATTTAGATAAGTTAGAAATCATATTCTCCATCAATGGTGTACCACTCAAACCCTGTGTACAAGTTTTCAAAACCGCCAGGTGATTAATCAATGATTCCTCTTAATTATCGATGATATGGTTCATTATCAATGACTCATGTCAAATATCTTGAAGTATTTGCAGTTAATTGATCGATTATGTCTTTCTTATCTTCAAGGTCTGGATTTTTTGCTGCTGCCAGCTTCATGTCATTTCAACAGTGTCTTTTCAATTTCGGAAATATTCCGTTCAAGTATCCACCTACTGATCGTCAATTCCAAAAGTTCAACGATCATGCGACACTGAATCCTGAGGATAAGGTTGTTCTGCCTCGGCATATTTATCTTGACCAATTGAGAAAATTGAGTGTGAGGGAGGACTCTTGTACATTGTGTTATGATCAGAAGGCATCTGTGAGGCTGTTACCATGTGATCATAGGTAAAACTATTGAATATAATAGTAAAATAGTAAAAGAGATGAGATGAATCCAAAGCAGATTGATATTTTAGTTCGCAGATGTATTTTCAAGTAGTATGAGCAAACTCCATTTTAGTCGTTGAGTATAGCAAAAAAAAAGAATTTAAAATGCCCAAAAAATTAATAATTCATCGACCAGACCGTCTTATATGAATCCTAACTTTGATGAGTATAAAAAATTAGTCCATTAATTTGAAAATTATTAAGAAGTTTTGACGGGAGAAGATTTAGTCAACGGATTAATTGAAAAGAAAATGAAACAGCAAAATTCAAAGTCCAGAGCAAGGTCCAGAGCGAGACTCAGAGGGAGAAAAAGAAAAATGTAATGCTGAATTTCAATCGAATGAAAAAATAAAAGTGTAATAGGCCTAATCTAATCAATTGAACTATAAAACGAATAGAAAATTATTGTTCTCATCAGTACTCCCAATAATAAAAAAAGTTGATAAACATCAGTTGGTAAAAAAAAATTGTTTTGCTTGAATTGCGTCAAATAGTCGTTTTTCGACTGTTTCATTTTGCCCCACTCTCCCCTATGCTAATCTGAAACTGATTGATTCCTTATTAATGATTGATTATTTAACTTTCAGGGGCTTCTGTCAAACATGCCCCATGCAGCTCATCGAGTGTCCAATGTGCAGAGCAACAATCGAGGAAGTAGCATTAGACACCGCGTGACTTTAGTCGTAATGACTAGCACTCAACAATCGATTCAAATCAATTGTCATAATTAGAATGCAAATATTTTTTTAAGCAATTACTTCATCTATTCTTATCATAAACGATACTCAAACAGAAGTTAAATATATAAAGAAGCAGTATTTCTTATGAAATTCAGGAACAAATAAAAACGAAGTAAAAATGAAGGACTGAGCTTAAAAATGCATTATGAACGATGTTGTTCAGGGGACTGACAGTGCATTGGTTAGCACCGACTAAATGGTGAAAAGAAATACAAAGGGTAATGCCATTGACGGATTCCGTGCATTTATTCTCATACTCTATTCGTTAGATTATTGTTTTTGAAACAATTGGAAAACTACATTCGTTATTATATTGAGACATCTCGGGGAGATAAAAATCGAATTTGAAAATATTGATTCAAAGAGATACCATTCTATTATGGAACAAATTATTTGTACATATAATATGTGTATATAAAGATCATTAACGTTTTATCTGCTGTTTACTCCATCTCTTTATATTCCTACTAGGTGTCCCTCCCAGCGTTGCGCGGACAATTCTTTTCATCGAAAAATTTTGAATTTTTGTCAAAGTTCTGTGCATTGAAAAAAAAACTTTTTAAAAAACCCAACAGGTTTTGGAAATTTTTCCGTAACCTCTAGAAATTTCCAAAATTCAATCCTTAGACAAATTTGTTTCGTTTCAAAGAGACATTGTGTAATTTTCTAGAACGAAAAAACCCGGAAATTTCCAAAAAGTTGCGGAAATTTTCGAGAACTTCCTACGTCCCATCGTATTAGGAGTTGATTAAAGAAAACCGCGTATTCCTCAATTTCGAATAGTCTAATTTCGACTCTAAATGCCAAATTTCGCGTTGAAGTTCTATACAGAAAATTGCACTCAAATATACTTCTACTTCTTTAGCCCATTATACGGTTCACATCAATCAAAGTAGTATATCTAAACTACACGTAAGTCGTTGAGTGCATGACACAAAATAAATTTCAAATGGCAGAAAAAAAATTCATCATTGATAATTTCTTACATGAATTCTAATTTTGATGAGAGTAAAAGATTAGTTGCTCGTTTGACTAGAACATCCTGTACATTCGAGGTACACAGAAACATGAACGATTTATCACAAAAATTTGACAATGACGATAATTTTCCTATTATTAAATTGCGTGAGAAAATTTTGAAAAAAATCATGAACATTCAGCGTCATTCAAATTACATTCTGCACAGAATTATGATTTTTTTAAACATTTGTTGTTTATAAATAAATAATTGGAATTGTTTAAACTTTCGGAAACCTTTTTTTTTAGGAGTGAAATCGATTTATGGTAAAATTCTGAATATGAATAAATTTGTTATGATTCCAGGCAAACGATTTTTATGTGGGAAAATTGATTGTTTATAGGTCATTTATAGAAAATGCTGGTAATTTTCAAAAATTGCAATTTTTTAATTATTTCATCGAAATTACGCGAATATTTGTTCTTCCTCTGAAAGTAAACGTTCTAATTGTTGCTTCCGAATGGAAATATTGTAATCGTTCAAATTTAAGTTTTGGATTTTTCGTATTATATTGACCCATTATGATCCAAAACGTCCGAAAAAACAACTTTTAGACTGTGTCCGTACGCATGCATGTATGTATGGGTGTGATGAAGTTTTTCTTCACTTCTTCGCTAATGAATCGGTGGAATTAAATCCTTCATTTTTCGCAAAGGTATTGTTGAGCCCTATCCATCGACATTAATTGAAATTCTGTTTTTTTTTTTTATTTTCGATTTTTTGTTTAAATTGGTTTTCCCACGATAACTAACAAAAATGTTCTGAATTGATTACATGACGGCTTAAAAAAATTGTTTGGATGTCCCCTTGACCGAGTTCGAAGATGAAAGCGATAGCAATAATCGTTATTTTGCTTTATTTGAAAATTCGTAAAAATTTTATATTTTTTGAAAATAAAAATTCCAGGGATATCATTGAATATCATGTTTCAAATGAATTCAACCATAGCTTAAAATATTTATTTTAATGCCACTAAGTCGAAGTTAAAAGATGATTACGATTGGTATATTGGATGATCATTTTTCATGATGATTGTTAAACATTTCGGATTTTTCATGAATTTCCCTGAAAGTGAGCTTTCTGATGATTTCTTCAAATGTGATGTTTCAAATTCATTCAAGTATGTATAAATAAAGTTGTTTATTAATGTTGTTTATTAATGTTTATTAATGTTGTTTATTATATTTTTTATTAACATTTTATCGAAAGACTAAGGGGAGAAATAGAACTGTAAAAAAAACAATCGGTCGTATAGAATTTTTGATATATGATAGAATATGTTAAAAAGTGGGAAGAATTATGACTACAATCAATTTTGTCCCATGAATAAACAAAACACGTTTTTCATTTTTAACTTAAAATCGTCCAAGAGCCTCAATTTTCATCCGATTGACAAATTTTGTTTTTTCTAAATGTTCGTTAGACTCCAAAGAACAAAAATATGCATATTTTGGTTACGATCCGTTGGATAGATCACGAAAAAATTGAAGAAATTTTTTTTTAATTTATTGCTTTTGCATTAATTTATCAATTATTCATTTTTTTCCTATTTTTTCACGATTCGTTCAATGGATACAACCTTTGTTCTTTGCAGACTAACGAACATTTTAAAAATTAAATTCTAACGAGAACTTTCATGAATTCAAAATCTAAGAACAATCATAAAAACCTGGATGGTATATTTGATATCAATGCAAGGGGTTGTAATAATAATTCTCAGTCTTCGTTGGAGCAGGGGACGTATCGATCGACTTTTGACATATCATAGAACAAGTTAAAAAGTGGGAAAAATGATAACTACAATCGATTTTGTCCCATGAATAAACAAAAAACAACAAATGAGAACATTTTTGCCTTTAAAATCGTCCAAGAGCCTCAATTTTCATTCGATTGAGAATTTTTGTTTTTTCTAAATGTTCGTTAGTCTCCAAAGAACAAAGGTATGCATAAATTGGTTGCGATCCATTGGATAGATCACGAAAAAATTGAAGAATTGAAGAATTTTTATTCATTACTTTTGCCTTAATTTATCACTTTTTCATTTTTTTCCAATTTTTTCACGATCCGTTCAATGGATGCAATCTTTATTCTTTGAAGACTAACGAACATTTTAAAAATCGAACTGTAACAATAACTTTCAAATTTCTCCGCGATCTCGCCATTAATTTAAAATCTAAGAACAACTATAAAAATCTCGAGGGTATATTTGATATCAATGCAAGAAATAATAATTCAGTTAAAATTACACTTTCCAAAAATGTTCTGTTATTTGATGCTCGCATCCGGAGGGTGTGCAGTTAAAATTTAATGTTTCTCGTTTCAGTAGTTTCAGCTCACCCTGAAAGTGGCCTCTTCCATTTCATGCAACATTTTTCAAACGTTTTCTTTTGTTTATCAATCATCTTGTCTTTTATTTAGAGATTTATAATTTTTTTGCGATGTTTTAAAATTTCGTCAACGTTCATTCGTCGCAACTAATGAGAATGAGGCCAAAGATTTGTGAATTTTTGGCAAAATTGTCGCAAGATGTCAGGACAGTTTGTTACAAGATGGCGGGTGAGTGAAGTGTTCCGTGGACGGGACGAGGGCTTGCGTAAAACACGAGGGATTTTTTTCATTTTAACCTGTGGTGTTTGTGGGTTTCAGATATATCTTATCTACAGAATGCCGACATCGAGGATACGGATGAACGTGAGTTGTTAAATATAATATCATTACTGATGTAAAGAAATGTATTGGCCGACGAAAAATTAGTTTTACTGGGTTTACAGTTCGTGCTGTATACCCACTGCTCTGTTTTTTTCTTTTATCATTAATAATCTGGTTTCATTGTACTACATATTATCCCCTAAATGAAAGTTATCACTGTCGGACAAGCGTGTTTTCCTTCGCGTGCTAGCGTGGCCCCTGTCGCGCTCTATAACCGCGACCTACCATTCGTTTTTTTCATTATAGGTTATGTTGCATCAACCAACTTCCGCCCAAAACGCAAGCCATTCTCCCCCTCTACTTTTTTTTGCTTCCACTTTTTATGGTCTACCAAACGCCTTCCATATATATAATCGTGGAGATTGTTTTGAAGGATGTGGAGAGAGTTTTTGTATGGATCTTTTCGCATATTGCATGGCTTTTTTTCAAGTTTTTCAACTCTTCTTATTTTGGAGAAGGTAATTTTTTGCCAGTGGACGCCACCCTCGTGTTTACGTTCTTTGGAGTGGAAGGAAATAAAAAAAGGGCAGAAAGAAAGGGAAAAAACGTAAACTGGGAGGCATTGACCAGTATGAAATTCCTGACCTTTAATGTTTGGATTTATCGATACGAATTTTCTGCTTTTCGATTTCGTATTGAATTTTGGACTGAAGAATGAAACATTCAGGAAATTATAGCTATTTCATTTAGATGTCGACTCAACGACTGGACTATGCGATCTTCATTCTCTAAAGATCGTTATGAACATTCTTGCATTCATCATTAAGCTATTTTGGTTTTATAGTGAGAGTGAGCGCACTAATCAAAGTCGAATGGAATTCTCTAGTCATTAGCTCCAACGATGATCGGTTTTTGCTCCAATCAGTAAATTTAACGGTCAATAACGCATTCTCAACCGATCCAGTTAGTAGCGTCATCTTTCTATCCGCCTGAGTACCCGAAAAAAACTCGTTCGAGAGTGACAGAGAGAGAATGAGAGCAAGAAGGAATACTTGCTATGCCGTACATCTATCTGGGCTACTGATCTCCAGACTTCTCTATTCTACTACACAATAGTTTATGCTCTATTCTACGGTGCCATCTGCCGGTTGACGCTCCACAATAATGTGCGTATCATCGAACGAAGTACGAGCTGTATTAAAGTACGACTTCGCATATTCAATTAGTAAAAGATCCAGCGGTACGTGGTACTTGGTATTGAAATGACGATTTTTAATTTTGCACTGTGGCAATTTTTTGTCCCATCAGCGTCGTCGCACTTCACCATCTAATCCAACTTTCATTTTTCAAATGAAATATTGTCTCCGAAATTTCCATGCCGACCACAAAAAAATGGTCTTGCGTGTCAGCACAAAACTGAATGAATTTTTTCGTGAGTAATGGAAGATTCATGTTACGCTACCAACGCTCCCTCATGACGTGGAATCACGTGACATATACGCAAACGTCTCAACTTCCTGATTTGTACTTCCTTCCGGGTATTTATTGTCATCGTTTCTTTGACTGGAATTGTTGATTCACGAAGCTATATACTGTACTTAATGAAAAATCTTGGGATAGCTATTCTCAGAATTGATCCTCTGTCGTGTCCCGCGGAATTTACATGATTTTTTTCCCATTAGCATTTCCATAAGCCGAGGGAGATAAGGCCCGCTATTTGACCAGAAATCCGGCGGTCGTCTACCGTCCGATTCCTAAACGATAATCGATTGATTCGTCATGACCGGTCAAGGTTGTTACATCCCCAACAGTTCGTAGTCCCTCTGTTTCAAATCTCGATAGGAATTCTACATCAGTGGTTTGTCTCGGTTTGTCTTCAATTTTCTCATCGCATTTCTGTTTACTGTTGTTCTTCCTTCTCTTTTCGGGAAGGTCAACCAAGTATCAAACTGGTATGGCTCACAGCCGCGTTACTCGTTTTTTTTTTATCCATTCTCTTCACAATTTTCTACTTGCACAACAGAAACTCGAATCTTTTTGCATTGTGGTAACGGTCTTTTTTTTCATATATTTATTTCCTCGTTTTTATTTCGCCCCGAAGAGAGTTCCTTGCCCTTTCAGGATTTCTTTTCAGTTCGTCGGTCTGTTTTTGATAGAAGGCCCACCGTCCGTCTAGACTGTACGACGACGTGGGGCTGGTCGATGCTTTTATAATCGCAACGAAATGCACCCCTCAGCCAAAGTACCGGTTCCTTCTTTTATTTATTTCATCCATTTTTTTCATCTTCATTCTATTTTTATTTATTTACTTCACCCCGTTTTCCCCCGTTTTTTTGTGGTTGTTTCAAAACTTGTTGAAAACATTATATATACATTCCTCTGAAGACATCCCCCTAGACAATCGAGGATACATTGAAAAAAAAAAAAGAGAAGAATTAGTTCCACAGTACGAATTGTTGCGGCTCACCCCAAAGCCCGATACGTGGCGCCGCCTAGTGGTACGCAAATAGGAGGCTCCTCGATTATTACAGACATTCCTTGGATGCCATGGGCCCTCCCGTTTGCCTGCTTGGTCCATGCCACTGCTATTGCCAACGCTACCCGACTACGTTGCACCGTACATCTCCCCAAATCCTCTCTGCCCCTCCCCCCAGCCTCCTCACTTCCACATCACCTTGTTGCTTTCCGAGCTTCTTCAGCTTTCCTCCTCCCTTCGTCTCCTTCATTTTTATTTATTCCTCGGTATATCTCGCTCGCTCTCGCGCCCCTTGCCGTTTCACCACTGTGTTTGTGTGACCGCGCACAGGCACTCGTTAGAGTTTACAGACCCGAGAGCAGATTCTTCCAAGATGCCAACCACCACGGCATCCGCCGTTGAATTGTAAAGTTGTAATAATGAGTGATGCATATTACCTCGTTTCTTCATTTTTTTAACGAAAAAAACTAGGGGTTCAGTGCTACGATTTGTAGTAACTCTTTTTCTTCAATGAAAATGGGGGAGGCGAACGATTCACTCGGTGAAATATTCAGCATTTGATAAAATCGATCGATTTCACCGACGAATTCCTGTTCTTCGAGCAATGGTTGCTCTGCACCACTCGAGCCCTTCCTATATTACTTCCATCGGCGCAAATGGGCCAGGAAGAATAGAAGAACGTGAGTGCAACGGGATGCGGAGGAATGCCGAGGGAGGAATGAATATCATATTAATGAGATTGTGCAATTAGAAATGTTACGTTCAATAACGAGCAATTCATCTATATATTGGTTTTTCCTAAATCAACTATTGCGAGTTTTTCAATGACAATCATTGGAATGTTATTTATACGATTTTCTTCCATGTGCGGTTATGGTACTAACGAGTTTTTACACTCTAAACGATAACTTTTACTCTGAAGTGCGTAGATGGCAATTTTACGTCAGAAAAGGTATGACGTCTTGGCGAAGGGCGACGACGCAGGATGTGGGAAAATTGTGTTTTTTCATGTTGTCGAGTTTTTCTCCGTCCTCATGTACTTGAAATACCGTTACTATCGGTTCATGAGTAATAGTAGGGATGGAGAAAGAGAATTTTTGAATGACCCCCACTTTCTATGCTGAAGGGCCACTGGATCGCTTGGATTCAAGCGCCACCTCCGCAGGGAAGTGGCGCTTCATAAATTCGATCTCAAAAGCTCACACTTCAAATTCCCATATTTTTTTTTTTCACCCGGAGGGGAAGAAAAATCTGCAACATTCTGAAATCATTCAGTGAGGTTCATGAATGCATTCAAGAAGTGAGGCAAGTACGTGAGTAAATAAAAATGTAAAAGAAGAATAAATAAAGGAGTACAAGACTGATATCTCCGGGCGACGACTCTAGATAAGGGACCAACAGAAATGTCGTAATTTCCTCAGGAATCTCACTTTCTTCTTATTTTTCATCCTCTCTTATTTGTTTTTTTATCTCTTGTCTTTTTTTCTTCTTGGCTTTCTCAGTCGCAGCCGATTAGAGTTGTTGGCGGACGCGCCTGAAAGCGTGGGAAACCGGATTCCCTATGAATCTCAATCCCCCAAAATAAAAGAAACAACATCATTTGTTTGTTTATTTAGGTACATGTAATTGACTCGTATCAAATTTACAACACAGGAATAACTCGTTTTGATGTTAAAAATACCTATGATATTATTTCACAGCTCTCAATTTAGATGGAATTAGTCCCAGGGCCTCAGCGCCCCCGTCGACCACAATAAAACTCCACGGCTCTGCCCTTACATTCCTGGGTAGTGTGTTGCACGCTATTTTAAGACAATAAACGTTCTCAATGAACATCAGAAAATTATTCTCATTATATATCTCGGTCATAACCGTCTGTGATCCTCATTTACACGAGACCCATATAACCATGTCTCACTCTATTCGTTAAAATTTCTCCTCTGAATTAATGTCAATCCTATGTACCAACTAACGAATGGAATTTTTTCTCTTTTTTTTTTCATTCACAGAAATAAATATTACGATAGCGTACACGACAGAGTGTAGAGTTGAGTTTATCCGAGTACGCTCGCTCTTTCCGTTCCAATTTTATTAAAAAAAAAGTACTACCATAGTGAAACCATTAATGAGTAGATGAAAAGATCTTGTGAATAAAAAATATTCCCTTGGTAAGAGTTTCATAGAATAAAAAAAGTTTTTGTCGGGAAAAATAAGGCTGTATTTTTGTCCCATATCGATCCAGCTCTACTTCCGCATTCTAGCTCAATAGACAGCCCATGCGTTTCAGTATCAGTTTGTTTCTTCCTTTCCCCCTCTATATATATATATATACACACACACACACGTTTAGTTTTTTTTTCGTTGGTAATGTCGGAAATTGCGTGTCAGGAATTTCTTTATATAAATTTTTTCGTAGACTCAGCGTTGTATAGTCAAAATACACGCGAGATTCCGCCCAAAGTTCCCGGGGTTCAGGTGACTGACTGCGCACCATTCAATTCATTCGTATCAATCTCCCCTCCCGAATCATTTTTTATTCAATTTTTTTTTTATCGAGCTTGCCTCCCCATACCCCGACCAATGTGATCACGCTAAGTTTAATCTTAGCGTAAAGTCATCGCAGCACGCCTGCATACGATGTAATCAATGAATGACCACGTAGTGGTGCAACGACCGGATTCCACACGAGTGACTACGTTTCTATTCTTCCCATCGAGAAATTAAAAACGAAAATTACATGAATTATTGAGGAACATTCTCGGGCTATTAGTTGTCATTTCACTCAGATCCTTTCTAAATGTCTCCAACAGTCGACAGAATGTCTTATCACGTAGGATTTAACATCCTCAAGCGCATGTAGGTGAATATACAATATCAGATAGGCCGTGTAATGACGCAAGATGAATCAATGAATGACTCCCCAGTGATTTTTTTTTTTCTCAGTAACAATCAACATAAACGCATTCTTTTTCCATTTGTTTACGCCTACATCCTCTCACTCACTGCTCCCCCTTACCTTCTCTCATTGTACTCATGTACTCATTGTCAGTTATTACACATTACGCGCGCAATGCATGGAACCAATTCGAATATTGGCGTGGTCTCGCATGGTCGACGCACGTTTATCGATCGCCGGGGCGTCACCACACTCGTCGGAGTATTAATACACAGCCAACTCTGGGAGCCACACAGTGGCGCCCCCCCTCCTGTCGTCACAACCTAGGACTTTGACATTCGTATGTCTGTTATTCTTTTTTTTTTTCTTCATTTCCCCTCTCCGTACTCACTGTCGAGGGCTTTCAGTGTCTCGTTGGTGGACTTTTGCGCGTGAGACCAAATAATACTGTCGTAATAGATACATACATCGATAGGTCTTTACTCATTTCACCGGCACTAAACCGTATGCAGGATGAAGCACTACGAGGTTACAGAAATAATACTAGGAAAACGACAAGGGGGGGCGCCAGCCGACTTACACCGAGTGATGCCAACCAATCGCCACTATTGGCTCGAGCGCCGGTCTACCCGGCGTGTTTCATCAAAACTAACGTATGAGGTTTCGTTTACGCTCTCGTCTCCTCAACCGTCTTTATCTTGCTATCGTTGAGGTCGTAGATAGCCTGTGGCGAAGAATGTTTATATGTTGTTGAGGGGGCAGCGTTGCGGGATCAATATTGTTCGGTGGTTGAACGCCGTTGTTTATGAAAAAACAGAGTGCAATGTACCGTGGTTGAGGAACGAATAGATTCAGGGAGGTTTCACAATTGTTTAGATTTTTTTTTTTCGGGTGGAGATATTCTGGTACTTGGACTTGAGGAAGTTGGTGAGTGTCAGTGAACAGTTTTGTGATGATTCATTTTTTTTTGTGACGAAATTGTGGATTTTTCGGGGCTGATGACATGTTAGTGTTGGTTTGAAAATTGTTCAGGAATGGTGGGTGTTATTGTTAAAAATCATGGTGATTGGTTGGGAAAATGATGACGATGAAATCAAGCATGGCCGTCGAACGAGCTGGGCCACTATGAAGATGGCTTTTCGGCGTCATTTCAGGCGAAGAATGTGGAATTGTTCATTGGATTGTGGTTGAATGAATTTCGGACGTCTGGGAAGCATTATCCTGAGTTTGAGCAGCTCCAGGGGAGTTGGGCATTTCGAAAACTGACGATGCGAATGTCCTCTCGTTCGAAAAGCTTAGCCCTATTTTTGTTGATGGGTTTAATAATGATGTTGATTAAGAGATAGGGGTGAAATTCGGAGAAATCGTCGCCCAACTCAGGTCAATAAAGAGGCTCGTTTGAAGGACGAGAAAGGTCTCTACTTCGTCGACCACGCATGGCCGATTCGGGGAAGGACCTCGGTAATGTTACGGTGCAAAGACCTCCTGAACGATACTTCAATGATATTGCGAGTGAAATGTGTGCGAATAGTATGATCAAATATTTATCGTAACTCGAAATAAAATTCAGTGGTTGTTGATCGATTGGAAGTAAAAAAGTGTAATATTTCACAAGTCGTCGCAATCACTGGTCATATCTGACTTGTGCTCCGACCAATCATGTGGATACCTGAAGAAATTTGTTGTTTTGTCGGCATCAAAAAGGTGGGCTGCTTGTTTTCAAGACAAATAAATAATGTTGAATGTGTTATTCCAAAATATTTAGTCTCCCTCATGTTATCAAATTATGTTAATTTTTATGGAGTTTATATGTACGGCGAAAAATTTGGTAGAGTCTTGAGGATACGCAATTGCGTGTCTTCCTCGAAAGGAGCGAAGGTGAGGTTAGAAGAACGGGTTACACCCCTTATATACTTCCTTTCCCCTGAATACACGTAGAGAGCCGAGGGTCCATAATGGTTTGTTATTGATCTAACTCTGCGCCTTCCTTGCACTTTTCTTCCTTTGTCGTCCTTCACTCGTTTCTCTTCGTCGACTCCATCCTGAATCCTTCGCGTTTTTGTGGAGGAGTAGACCACTGCACGAGTCCAACCCTAAAATCGAGGCGATAATTTATTCAAGTGTAGAAGAACAGGACGTAATATATCCTGAAATGCACTGAAACAAGTCCTAAAGTGTTGTCTTTAACTCGCATGTACCTGATGAAAAGTAACAATGTCAACTGTGAGAATTTCCTTTGGTCACAGCGGCATATTATTCAAGAGCTCCAACCACCCATCCCCATCCATCCTAAAACATTGAAAATTGGTCAAGCCCCTTAAGAGGTGAAGTCATTCATTTCCAAAATGAACATAAAAAATTGTGCTTTTTCTGAATCTCGTGACACAACGACCTTGGGAATGCCACGTGTCCCACTACCTCATTCCATTTTCCATGAATCGATTCTCGACGACCCATTGAAATTTAATACCCAAATAACCGTTGCATATTTTCACGATAGGTATTCATATTGTAATAATTCACAATATTGGTGAAAATATAATCTCTATTCACCATGAGAATTGCTGTAGTGCAAGCATTTAGTTCACACGCGTTCATCAAGTTTTAATCAACCTACCAATCTGTTTGACGTCAAATGAAATTGAAAACGTCATCTAACCCATTTGTATTCGACACTCGATCGATGATTATTCGCAAGCGTACCCGACTAAATGGATATCCTCAAGCGGTAATCATTAAATCGACTTGATGCTCGGTGGAGATGAAAATGGAGGAAGGGAGAAAGGACTTTCAACCGCAGATAATATTCAAGATTGAGGAAGGAGGAATGGGGTTACACACATTCCCACACATTCACACACACACACACACATGTGACAAAACATGACCCTGAATCGAGCATTACGGGGGCTGAGAGTTGCAGGTGATAAAAAGGGTGTTGGGTTGAGAAAATAGAGAGTTGTTAAAAGGAGAAAGACAAATTTGGCCAAGTGTTGTCCTATTGTCCACGTATACCTTCAGTGCGTGCGTAGAGAAATTTTAAGGGCGGGTGGGCGGTAGCGGGATGGAAGGGGGATGAGATGAAGGAAGACAGAAAACGAGACTACAGTTGCCGCGGGATCAATACTCCCGCGTCTTGCGATCATTCATCTTGCCACGCCCCTCTGCTCTTTCCACTTTCGCTGGATGGCCCGTCGTTTCTACTATACCCAATTCTACCCTTGTGGCCTCCCTGCTTTTACTTTACTACCGTCCTACTCATATTTCTCATCCCCCTTCCCCCTCTCCATCTATAGTTTCGTCTGCATATTAAATTTACAAAATTGCTGGTAAATGAATGAATAAAGGGTTGAATAAATAAAGAATGTAAACGGGCAAGGAAAACAAATTAAATAAAGTGGGAAGGTTGACATGACCTTTTTTTGCCAGCTAGGAAATTACGCAATTGTTAGAGCCGTCATTTCCTAGAATGTCTACTTCCCCTTTGGAATTTCTTCAACAATCTGAATCGAAAGCTTTGTGCCCTAAAATGAGATCTTGCGGTTCACCCAATCCCGTCTTCGATAAAAATCGGCCCATAATGTCAAAGCACAGATATAGATATGGTATATAGACCAACTTCTGTCCTGCATGAATCTCTTAAAAATACTTCAACATTTTCTTTATGTATTTCCCCCTTTTTCTGGCATTTAGAAATGGCGAATACAGAGATTGGAGACTCCAACTATGGTGAATATCAGAGGGACAATGAAAGCGATAGTGGAGGCAGCGGAGACGACGAGGGCGGAGGAGATGCTCTTCATCCCATGGCCAGGCTCCAGCAATATGCCTCATGCGAAATGGTCCACAATAGGTGAGTCGATATCTCCTTGAATACTATTCAGCTAAAGGCCCTGAAATATAGAAGAAATCATAAATCAAAACTAAAGTTTAGTCAAAGTAGTGGTGCACCAACTGACAAAACTCATACTTGTCTGATGCAGACAGGAAATGTAGGCAGTGGAGTGCAGTGTATTGAGGATGTAGATGATAGTGTAGAAGGCTCAAGAAGCTTTAGCCAAATATACGCGGTGTGTCAGCGTCGCGGCATCCCTTCTCATTCTTCTTCTTTCCTCTTTGTCTTAGTCTGCTATACTTTCCTTGAGACTGAGATTCGCGACGCCTTTGGGCGCCTGTAGTGGAGCGCATGGGGTCAACGTCATCCAGACTGGAGTAGGTACCCGCCACGGCCCCTACGGTCTCGAGGCCCAAATAAACGCCAATTCTAAAACATCAGACGCTAAATTTTCAAACCAATTTTTTTATTTTCATTTCGCTAGGCCTTTCGTCTCGACACGCTGACCTCGTTTTACTTCTTAATTTTTTCCGTTGTATTAGTCCCGAGAGGTTTTCGCGCCAGATTAATAAATTAGGAAAAACTGTCTGAGTCGTAGACACTGGCAATTCATTGAGAAGTTATTGGGGGTGGAGGATCCCGAGTTTAGAAATTGAACGGCTTTCGGTCTGATTTATCAAGGAATGGTCAGTTACCCTTAAGTCGGGTAATGAGGGAATTCCCGCCGTTTTTTGATTTTTTCTTTTCACACAAAAACTTTGTGAATGAAAAATCCATAAAAATATATATTCCTACTTTCAAATATATGGAACAAATCAACATCTTTTTTTTCGGTCCAGACTTACGCCAATGAATTATTAAAATCTTCTGAAAATTCGAGTCGCTGAAAATCCCTATGTTTAACCTCAAAATTTTATAATTTCGCACTTTTCCAAATCGACTTCTTGGATTATCTGACAACTATTTCGTTTCCATACCCCCATTTGATATTCATTGGAAGTTGAAAATTATCTGTGAATGTGGAATAAATTTTTTTTGTTCAACTGTTTTTCTCAAAATCGTAAAATTCAAAGACTTAAAAGTTTCATGCGGCCGCCAAAAACCGACCATCGTGGTCGGTTTATAACCAACTGACGCAGTTTTTAGGCCAAATATCCATCAAATTCCGTCGTTTTGCAACCTAAAAAAAATGTTAAAATTCAGAGTTAAATCTTTGCCAGTAAGAAGTTTCTAAAATATGCAAACTGAAGCGGTCGACAACTGTGGAAAATAAAAATTGCACTCTGTGCCAGTAGAGAATCCCCAATAGTTCTAGCTTTCATCCTCAAGTACACAACTATCTCCCTTTTTTCAACATTCACGAACGAATAATTTTGTTCTATTTATGAATAAATTGATTTCAATTTCTTTCACTTTGAGTTGTAAACTGACCAAATGAACCATGAACAATGCCAAGTATTAACTTGAGAAGAAACTGTTTAAACTATGTCGGTTTTTGGTCTAAAAGTCACATACACTGTTTAAAAAAATTCTAATGTCATGGATCGTTGATTAGTAATTTCCAGGAGTGAATTTCATTACTCAAAGCTTAACGAAATTTAAACTTTATGAATATACTTACCAAAATTTTTCTAATTTCTATTAATTTCCATGGAATAATCAAATTAAAACTTACATTTTCCATTGAGTTTTGAATTTTCAATGATGAAATTCCTTGAAATGTTAGTGGAACTAAAATGTGATAAAAATTTCTAAGAAGCGCACGGGAAATGTCAGCCAAAAATTTTTAACAGTATACTCCTGTCAAAAATTGATGTGAATACCAACTCGAAAACTAATAAAATCACTGAGTTGACGTAAAACCAAATTCTGCGGCTCGGGATTCAGGAGAGTGGTGGATTTGGATAATATTTTCGGAGACGAGTACCAACCACCTACACTTGTGGCATGGGACAGACAACATTAGTGTATTTTTGTACTTGTAGATGGACTTTACTCTGTAACTTCTGTATCTTGTGGCTGTTGCCCGCTTTCACAGTATCCGTTTTCGCACAGACCGATCCAGTAATAGTTCAGACTGTCTGCGTGCCGTCTGGTTCCGTCTTCGACACGAAATTTTTACGCTCATACGTGTCTATTCGAATGGTCTCTATGATTGGGTTAGAATGAGAATGTATTAGTGGGAGGTCAGATTTTATTGTTGGCGGCGATGCTAAGGAATTTTCAGTACCAAGAACCTCATGATTAGTGACACAGATGCCAATCATCTACTTGTTATGGAATGACGCTGCAGTTATTGGGAGTCGGCGTCATAATACCAGCACGTGCTGAAGTGATCAATATATGTGGAACAACTAGGTATGAGATATATTGATAAAATGTATATAGATGGAACGACGGGTATATTTGTTCGCGGAAAGTAATTTTATGAAATGTACAATGAGCTCGTGCTCGTATACTATCTGAATTTATATGCGCATCCTCTTCTTTGGTACTGTAGGAATTGAGGGAATAAATGTTTTAGGAGTTTTATACGCTCATTTATGAGGGGAGAACTGCGTCAGAAGTTGTCATCACTGTTATGAAAAATTTTATGACACATTCCATAAGGTGAAAATTGTTGTTCTTGTAAATGTGCGATTGCAATAAATGTTATTTTTGTATTTTCATCAAAAAGTGAATATTGAAGCGGAGAATATGATAAGCCGAATGTACGCATCGTGCAAACTTTGAGACTTCATTCCGATAATGAATTATTTTGAGAAAAAATATCACGGGATCTTCTCATAAATAACGATAAGGGTAAATTAAAGATTGCTTGGTGTATTCAACCCCATTCTTTGGGATGCCTTACCTTTTTTCATTTAGACGATGAAATAACCCAGATTTAGGGATGATTTACATCACAAAAGGATGAATCATTCGCAGGTAAGGGTAAATAATTCCTGTTGAAAATAATTCACATAGAAAAAAAATCAAACCTACATTTGAGTTATTTCATCTCTTAGCTGTGATACTTTTAACAAAGAATAAAATACACTATGCAAGGTTCACACTCATGGTTTCTTGTGTGTTGGAAAATTATATTCTAAAATCAATCCAGCTCGACGGTAGGATATTATCATCAGATGTTCGTTGAATATTGGGATAATTTTGTTCGTATTTTCCTTCCCACTGTTTAAGCGGTATTAAAAACCTTTGGAAATTCGAAAATTATTTCTCCAATCGGACTTCAACGACTTATTAGAATCAAGTAAATTAATGAATAGATACAATTCGGAATATTTATCAATCGAGGCGGCGAATGCAGTTGAATGATTTATCCGATTAAAAGAAAAAATGTGGAAATTAATTTCCAAAGATCATTAGTCAATCAAGCTAAATGATTTATCCATTGACATCCTCCACATTAGGCAAAAAAAGGTGGACAGGAAAGGTAAGGGAGCCAGAAGCCGGCTGTCAGTTTTCCTCCCCAATCTCCCCTCCTTTTTTCGTTTCAATCCAATTTTTCATCTTTCTGATTGTGTCTCCGTTCAACAATCTCGCCCAGCCATCAAAAGTTTTGGGCTGATTTTCGGGCGGACGCGCGTTCCTCCGGGGTAGTAATCCTGCGTTGTATGCATTTATGACCCTCTTCGGTTAGTATACAGGAACGTACATGTTGGCTCTGATGGGCAGGTGTGTATGGGCTCACCATACTCACAATGTAAGCAAGAAGAAGAGGGTATGCATTTGGCTGATGCCAATGAGGAAAGAGAACGTGAGGGGGGCAAAAGAGAAGAGAGTGTAGCGCGTGCCGCCGTCAAACATCCGGAGGCCAGGTGTAGACTTTATCCATTTTGCCGGTGGCGTACCTATGCTCTGTCTGTATTTATCTCTATACATGTGCGGACCCCCTTCCAAATGAGCTTGGGTTTTTCGAGTGCCTCGTTTACTCTCACTCCATACGATTCCGATGCACACGGGTGGCACACCACGATTTTCAAAGGTTGCTGACACCAGGGCGCACAGAAGGTTTCGCATTTAATTTTTTTGTTTCCGTTTTTCAATCGATGAAATCCAATAGCAGAAGTGAAGAAAAAATCACATCGAAAATAAGAAATATAGGAAGATGTGTCATAGGAAGCATACAAAAATCAGTGAGATAAAATGCAATATTGAGTTCAGCGGATAAATCTTTAATACGAAGGGCAAGTGACATTCGTAATCCTGGTGTCAAGCGCTAGTGCAATCAATGAAGTCATTGTAATTATTTGAAATTAATGCAATCATTTGAAATCGTTTCAACCGTGCGCCTGAATTACAATTATTGAATGGCAGCGAGATTAACATAAGAATTGAGAACTGGATACATGTTCAAAAAGGTTGAAGCCCACTCGATGTTGAATGAAAAACTAACATCAATGATCGAAAATTTAACCGAATGGGGAGTTAGATCGTACTATTTGATTGAATTTTCCAAATTCCTGGACTGCATCCTAAATTCCCACTGTTAGAAAAAAAAAAAAACTTCATGGACAGTTGACTACCAACTTTCAGGCCAGTGACACTGAACGCGATTTAGGGGGGAAAAAATCATGAAATTTCAGGTTTCACTGAAAATTCAGTAAAATTCCAGAATTTTAAGTAGCATAAAGACGAGAATTCCATAATTTATTTGAATTTCCAATCTAATACGAATATTCAGTGTCAAATTGCATTGAATTTCCAGTGAAATTTGAAATTTCATGATTTTTTTTGCCTCTAAATCGCATTCAGTGTCACTGTCCTGAAAATTCACGAATATATTTACAAGAATTTTCTAGTTTTCCATTCGTTTTCAAGATTTCCTGAAATTTCAGTGGAATTACAAAACAATAAAAATTTCCGGAATTTGGCACGGAAAATTCAGACAACAATTTTTAACAGTGCAATCAAAGAATAAATTGGTAACTGCAATGAGTATATAGAGCATCATTCCGTTTACCAAAATTTTCAAGCGTTGATACCAAAATAGCTGAACACAAATGCCCATCACT